CAACAATATTATTTAGTAAGCATAAACAAGTAATAACACTTAGTTGTGTCATAAAAAAAGTTTGCATTCGACCCTTGTTAGTAAATGATGTACATCATAAGTAAGAGATAATGAAGATAATGAAGACTTATATTCAATAAGGAGTCTTACAATCGAAATCTAAGAAGTGGTGAATAAAATATTAGATCGCTCAACATAATCATCTATTTATAGTAAAATTGAGTACATAATAAATAATAAAATACTCAAAAGTCAGGCAGCCATGCATGCTATGACTGGTCTGACAAAACTCATGTAACGCACAATATTAGAAAAGGTAAACATTACTTTTCTAACATTTCAATATATAACAAGACTGATCATATTCTTCTTCGCGTCAACATCCTCCTTTGCGGATTTCCAAATCTTTACTATTTATTTTCAAATTCTTCGCTTTCTATCCAAAACAAGAGCTCTAACATAACCAACAAAAACAAGTCTTTGGTACTTCAATACACTTCATTGCTTCCGAGGGTCACTTCCATGTATCAACAATTTCCCCTTAAGTGACCTTGTATCACTCATGTTAATCTATTATGTTTACAAAACTTAATAATGATCCACCAGAACTTCCTAACTTCAAAGATCCAATTGAGTCTCCAGGAGACTTCAAACTTCACCTCTTTAGTGGTGTACTTGGACTTTTGGACTATAGACAGAGTGTCTTCGATCTATTTTTAGGAACAATGATGAAATGTAGTGGCTGCAAAGAAGATTTTTTTTCACAATCTATGGATATCTTGAAGACAATGCCAAGTTCAGGGTAGTAGGTTGCTCTGAGGCTTAAGTTAAGTATCCCTTCAACAATCATCATAGTTAGTTCAAATAGAGGGAAGATTATTTTCTTAGCAAGGATTGGACATATCTCAACATCTGTTTTTCCTAAGTCACACACTAAAGATTTGAGGAAATCAACATCCCTGAGATATGCTTCTTCCATCTTGGGGTATTTTTGGGCTTTGAGTTGGAAAATCCTTTTAATCAGAAAAACCTTTTATGGATACATGAAGATGAATTCCACTTAAGTTTGGTGGTACTCTTTTCCGAAGTGAGTGAGAGTGTATTGACAATGCGTATCTCCTTAGAAAGACCTTGGTTCGAAGGTTGTAACAACTTCGGGTATGTCAATTGACTAGATCTCCTCCATCATTTTTCCATATTTGTTATGAAATAAGTTTAATCTTTCGAACTCCATCGGCATTCATTGATCATCTGGGGTGGTCAGGTTAAATGGCTTAAATACTAGGATTTACGTTAGGAGAAACTGTGATGTTGTTACGTCCCGATTTTCAAAGGCAAAATTTTCATTTTTATTTATTAAAAATATAAATCTTACAAAACATTAAAATATTATTATATAAAAGTGTATCTTAGCAAAAGACTATAACACTTTATTGATGCTTTGATGTCGTTCCAGTTATGTGTGAGCCTTTCTACGGTCAGATGAACAACCTATAAAGCAGTTATTCGACAACTATAAGTTGTGGCTTAGTGAATTCACTCAAAATATTCCATACCACAACACATATACAATGCATACACATATAGTTTATCCGATTTATCTTTACTACATCATATAGCTCGACTGCACCTAGGCCTTTGGCATACAGCTAGTCCGCTCGACTCTGTTGGCCTTCAGCTTAAGGCGGGACCGGCCTCAAATTCATATATAATAACATACAAACATAAAAACAATCCACATAACAGGAAATTAACTATTCTAGCCTAATTGCCTAAGTGCATACTATATGGTAGCTATATCCTAACATAAAGAGGACACATACTAGAATATAGAATATAGTGAAGAACTCACCTTGACATATTTTAAGAGGATTAACAGTTATCTGAACATTCTAGTTGATGACTAACACTTTAACGAGGATTAACCTATATTATTATAGTTTATTAGTTCAATGGGAATATTAAATATAGGTTAGACCTAACACTAATCCAAATGAATACCAATAGTTCTATGAAATAAGGATTGGCCAGCGCAGACAATTAGGAAGTAGGATCATTTTGACATGTAGCTTTTTTTGAAAACCAACAACTAAGCCATTATGACCATTCTAGGCACTTTTCCCGTAAGTAGATCAATCAGTATTGTGACCTGGAATTACTGATAAATCTTAATTATAACTTCCTAGTAATGACTTATAACTATAATTGTAAATCATACGGAGGCAGAGTAAGTGCAAATCACTTACAAAGTGCTATTGATGAGAACCGAGATCTAAGCAGGCAGAATACTAACTCAGGATATCCTACTCGAAGGCTACTACTCAGATGAGTACTTAAGGGTGTCGTAGGAATTTGTCGCAAGCCAAAAAGGAAGGAAAATATGGCTAGTATAAGGTAGAACTCGAGAGGATTGGTCGTAGGGGTGTAGAGGATAGAGCTTATAGGGTGCACTCTATTTATAGAGGAAAAAACCATATACATGTTGTGCAAGGCCATGTGCACGCCACGCAAATGGGTGAGGTGAGTCATCTGAATGGATGACATGTGTTCGTGAAGGGGTGGGGCAGTGTGGCTAGCTTCGGGTGAATGCTATGTGCGCACGCCTGTATGACATTTTTCATATTTTTAAAATTGCATAACTTCTTCATATGATCTCCGTTTTTTATGTTGTTGATATCACGGAAAGCGTTGGACGAGATCTATAACTTTCTCTTAGACTCCCTCGGCTAATTCTGAATTCATCCTTTTTAAATAGGTTTAGACTATTAAAGCCCGTATCAAAGGTGTAACTTTCTTATTCGGAGTCTGTTTTCGACTTTCTTTATGCCGTTGAACTCTTATTAATGAGATATGTAAGTTTTGTTCAGATCGTATTGGCTAAAAATTGACCAAGCTAAAATCCGATTTTTGAGATGTACACTACTATGCCGAATCTTAGAACAATCATAACTTCCTCTAATGAAGTTGGATTTAGATGTTCTCTATATGTGCGTTATCGGTTTAACGACTACTATGACTTTCGTTTAGGTTGGTTAAGCGAATAACCCACCTATCTAAAACTCACTTTTTACGATACGTTGAGCTACGTCGGTTTAATCAAAAAACATTGAAGAAACATAACTTCTTCAAAGTAAGTCGGACTTAGGTGTTCTATATATCTCTAGAAATCATATCGATGTTTCCTATATGCTTATGAGGATTATTTTAGCTCTAGAGTAATATATTTATATTTCGTATTTTATTGCAATCTATGGCTATGTTAAAAATGGGGTGTTACAACTCTCATCCCCTTACAAGGATTTTGTCCCCAGAATTTAACTAAATAACTTTGGGTTTTTGCTCCCCATCTCTTCTTCTGACTCCCAAGTCCATTTCAATCCTTTTCGGTGTTGTCCTTGAACCTTTACTAAATTGATTACCTTCTTTCTTATGGTTTTGGTCTTCCTATCCAAGTTTGCTACTGACTTTTCAACGTAGTTTAGACGCTCGTCTACGTGAATATATTACAAAGATACAATTGTGGATTCATCCGTAATACACTTTCTTAACTGGGAGATATGGAAGGTGTTGTGGATTTAACCGAACTCTTCCAACTGATCCAAACGATAGGCAACCTTGCCCACTCGAGAAATGAGTTGAAAGGTTCTGATATACCTAGGGCCTAGCTTTCCTTTCTTCCGGAAGCTAATGACCCCCTTCCATGGTGAAACCTTAAGTAAAACCATGTCTGAATTCAATATCCGATCTTCTTCGATATGCATATATCATCTACCTACTCCGTGCAATATTCATCATTTCTTGCACTTGTTGGATAAGTTCGGTGGTCTTGATTACACAACAAATAAATGAAATAAAAAGAAAGATATATGTAGGTAATCTTGGAAATGTATAGTTAATATATATATAACTTTATTCAAATATGCACATAAAATTGGTTGAAACCTTGTTATCCATTTCCAAGGTATTTGGGTTTAATCTTTTATGTGTAATTTTTATTAGAACTACATTTGAAGGGGGGGGGGGGGGGGGGGTTGGATAAATTAGATTATAGCTTATTAGCTTATTTTTTATTAACTTATTTGCGATGAGAATAATCAATAAGCAATAAGCAATAATCAAGGAGAAAGATGTTTGTTAAAATCAGTTTATTTAGCTTATCTCTACCACAATAAGCTGATTTTTAAGGATTCCTAACCAAACACTTAAACTTAGCTTATTGTGGTGGAAATAAGCAATAAACAATAAACACCTTCTTTTTTTTCCTATTTAAACACCCCCTAAATCGTTAATGATAGAATACTAGTTACATTTTTAGCGATGTTTACCTAGCCTCTCATTTTCTTTTTAATATATTAGTTTCAAGCACTCATATAATTTACCCCTCAACTTTTATAAATTTACATTTGCTTATTTTTAATTAATTTAATTACTTTTTAGTTTTAATTTACAATTCATCACTTTCAATTTATTTTACTTATATATGAAAAACCTGTATTCAAACTTCATATGACAACTTGTACCAGAGATAATGACTTGAAATGGTAACGTAATTTCAATTTTGTTTATATTTAGTCATTAAACTTTCTCCGTACATGATTTACCTCTATATTATTTAAAATTGTTCATATTTTAAACTTATGACTGGTTATAAGGGTAATCAAATATGAAAAACATTCAATGACTAATTGTGAACAAAATTCAAAGTTCATTACATTTTCAAGTCATTCTTCCTATTTTAATATATTGATGAAGTTAATAGTCAAAATCATGAAACTGTTAACAAGCAAAAAAATAAAATAAAATAAAATAAAATAAAATGAAGCCATCGAGCATTCCTTGTGCGTTCTTGTTTGTGCTTGTTTTGGTCTATATGAAGTTACAAACCCCATTAAAGTTATAAGCGTGTTTTAAGAAAAAATTGCTTCATCGATTTAAAGAGTTTGAACAGGCTTGTTTTTCAGTCCCTTCTAAGGGGCTTTTCTACCTTCTAGTCCATGAGGGTGTACTCATATTCTATGTACTTCATGAGCATTTTTAATGGTGTCATGGTTTATCTTGTTTTAATATCATGGAGTAAACCGTTGTCCGATTAGTTTTGTTAAGGTTTATTCTTTTATTTATAAATTTATGGAGAAAGTTACAATACGTATACAACGCTTTAATACTTTTAGTACCTCGCATTCAAAATCAATTGATTACCAGGATCTAATATCAAGTGATTACCGATCCATGTAAAATTCAAACGTTATCATTAATTAATCACATAGATTCAATCATAAAACGAAATTTATTACATTAATGAATCAATTTTGCATGGGCATCATATCATCAGTTATTGCGACGACACAACCTGACAATTACCTGTACACATTAACTATCTAAAAAAGCTATATATGTTATATAAGAATCATTTTTCTCTTTATTCCTATTTGGAGGAGATGGTGACCTGACATCAGCAGGCCGGTGTGGATCCACCGGCGTCTGGAGAAGGTGGGGATCCACCGGCGTCTGGAGAAGGTGGGGATCCCCCTCCACCAGGAGGAGGCGGCGAGACAACAACAGCAGGTGGTGACCCAGGTTTTGGAGGTGGCACCTTCTTACAGTCATAGTAGCAGTAGCAACTATATCTGACCTCTCGCAGATGACAAGCTCCATGGAGTGCCTTCTCCCATTCTTTACACTTTCTGTCGCACGATGTGCTGATGCAAATTCCGGAGAACATCATGCTAGCCTTTTCACATATTTGAGGTTCATCCGCAGTCGCCATTTCTAGTCACGTCATGCAAAATGGAGTTTAGTTAAAATAAAATTTGTTACTTATGATAATACCCAGGGAAGAAATAGAAAATGTTTTATTCACGTGAATCATGCATGACACTTACATGATGTTTCTAATTTTCGACGTCTATAAGTAATTTAGTGTTTTATCACGTCTTGATATGTAATCTAAGTTCCTTTGCGTTTAATTCAGAAGAAGTATAATAATATACTTGCAATAAAACCAAGCATGATGATATAACATTCCACTAAATGACCACATGATATTAAAATGGTAAAATGAAACTATAACACAAGAAAACATTTTGCTAGAAATAGTCGCTGCCAACTTAAAATCTTCTTTTAAGTTATTTATATAACATCTAAATCACAATTACTAAAGTAAACTAAGAAACAGTTGTTAAATTAAAATGAGCGTGAATAAATTTGATCAAGCACCTGAGATAGCAACAACGAAAATGACCACGAGGAACACAGAAATAACTAAGGATATTTTTGCCATATTGAGTTATGACGAAGATGGGAATACTCCCAACGAGTTTGGTGTTAAAGGCCCAATAATTGGCATTATTTATAGAAGGAAGAAGCAGCACCAATGAAATACGTGTTAAAGATAAACACTAGTCATTAACATGTTTGGCAAACAGACTTTTAGGTAAGAAAAAAAAAGGTTTTTTTAAAAAGCCAACAATTTCTTATTTTCCAAAAAGCCAATAAACAATTTGTAAAACAATCACAAACAAGCCCTAAATATTAAAATCTATACAAATGTTACTCGTTGGTCTTTTCACTTGTAACATAAAATCCATTATGAAGCGCCAAATAAGCCATAGGATAAAGTGTAAGCAACAACCTACAAACATTTATTTTCAAAAAAGACAAATTGCAAGAAATTCTTTATATTAATATAAAATTTCGATTTTAATACATAAGTTTTTTTTTTTTTTTTTTTTTTTTTTTTTTTTTTTTTTCAATTATGTTATTATATTTACAGTTTTTATTGTAACATCAACCGAATGATCAGTTCTCACTGTTCTCTCGGTAACTATTTTCCCATAT